TGTGTGTGTGTCTATATATATATATATATATATATAGACACACACACATACATACATACACACAGTATATACAGTATTAGGGGTTGAACGACTTCTGATTTTTGAAAGTCGAGTCGAAGTTGACTAGTCGCTGATGATGTCATTATAGGGCTGGACAATAATTCAATATCAATATGTATCGCGATATAATTATTTTCAATAACGGTGATATGATTTTTAAACACATTTCCGATATTTCGATATACATTACCCAATATTTCCCATACATTGATTTATTTGTGGCTTTCGACTTCGTTGAATAAACATGAGCACTGCACTTCTGCGGGTGTTTTATATGAATGCATCTCTGAAGGGAATGGACTGTCTTCAGAAAACTTTCGATGGCGTTTTCATTTTATCTGATAAAGAAGCATTCATTACTCTTCATTGATTACAGCCATTACTGGAGAAGCCGCTAGTCCTACCACTCTCAAAACGCCTCCTGCTGGCAGACAAGCTGTTTGCATTTTCAATAAGCCCATCTCCAGCAATGTTGTTGTTGTTGCTCTTTTTTTTCTGCAGCAACTCAGTTGCTTTTCATGCTCTTTACACTGGCTAAAGCACATTTGTTTCAATCTATAAGAATAATCAGCCAACACTGCCAGTTAAAAGTTTTTGAACAGTAAGCTTCTTTTATTTTTTTACGAATTCTCTTCTGCTCACCAAGCCTGCATTTATTTGATCTAAAGTACAGCAAAAACAGTAACATTTTGAAATATTTTTACTATTTAAAATAACTGTTTTCTATTTGAATATATTTTAAAATATTTTTAAGCTAATTCCGCGTTATACAATAAATTCCGTTTTTATGACTGAATTCTGCGATTCTGTCCATGTTTTCTGCATCGCGGAAGTCATAGGGCCCTACTAATGTAGCAAAGGAATATGATAAGCTCATTGTGAGAGTAAAAGATGGGGACATTGTTGTTTATTTACTTAGCATTGAGTCTCTCCATTTAGGTGACAGCGTAGCGTTAAATCACCATTCAACAGACTCAAGCCACCACCGCATTGCCGTCTGTTGGACTGCAGAAAGATACTAACTTTTCAATCTGCTACGTTACTGACAGTACTGACAAACTGTGCTGACACAGTGTCTGCGCCGCAACAGGACGCGACAAAGAGACCATTGAAATTCATTTGAACTTTGTGTCAGCACGTCATAAATAGAACGAGGCATCAGTTTACTGCATCCAGTGTAGACAACATCACTGATTATAATGGTTTCTATTCTGCACGGCGCGTCAAAATACAATAGAATTCTATTGTATTTTGTCACGCCGCGTGATGTGATGTGACCGATGTGATAAGCATGAGTTCTGGGCCGCTGCCGGTATAAACACCAGCATTGACTGAGTGGCCGTAACACAGGCTTTAACGCGCCGCAGACGCATGCCGTGAAGCGCAGATCAGCTCTAGTCTCTAACGTCACTGAATCTGCTGTTAAAAATAAACCATCCATTCATCATATCATCATGCAAAACTAAGAATTAGAATCATTGTAATATGACGATCAAATATAGGTGCAGGTGGGTGGCGGGCGGATGATTTGAAGCAGCGGACTCGGGTGAAGTTTGAGCTCATCCGCGCATCTCTACACTACACTGACCTAGGTCGCCAGTAGCAAACAATGGAGTGCGCTCTGCTGGACAATCTAAGTAATTACACCATTCAGAAGCATTTAATCTGCGTTATATGTTCTGTAAAACAAACAAAAAAAAATGTATATATCGGCGCATATTCGCCGATACGATATATCTGCGATAGGCTCATATTGGCCAATAATATCGGCAAAATAATATATCAGTTGGCCTCTAATAGTAATTATTAAGAAAAGAAGTGGACGAAAAGATGCAACGTTGCAGGTGATTTTGCTTTGGAACCTTCAGAAATCTTTAACTCGATTTTTCTCAATTTACTTTGCTGACTTTATCGACTTAAAACAGGTGTAGCTCAGTCATTTTTCATCCGATTCCCACAAGTCATACATCATTTTGAAGGTGTTGTAATAGAGAATGAAAATAACTTTTTTTTAATTGCTCATTGTGACTCATTTTGCCAGCACAGAGCAAATATATGTATACACACCGATTAGGCATAACATTATGACCACCTTCCTAATATTGTGTTGGTCCCCCTTTTGCTGCCAAAACAGCACTGACCCATAGAGGCATGGACTCTACTAGACCCCTGAAGGTGTGCTGTGGTATTTGCCACCAAGATGTTAGCAGCAGATCCTTTAAGTCCTGTAAGTTGCGAGGTGGGGCCTCCATGGATTGGACTTGTTTGTTCAGCACATCCCAGATGCTCGATTGGATTGAGATCTGGGGAATTTGGAGGCCAAGTCAACACCTCAAACTTGTTGTTGTGCTCCTCAACCATTCCTGAACCATTTTTGCTTTGCGGCAGGGCGCATTATCCTGCTGAAAGAGGCCACAGCCAACAGGGGATACCGTTTCCATGAAAGGGTGTACATGGTCTACAACAATGCTTAGGTAGGTGGTACATGTCAAAGTAACATCCACATGGATGGCAGGACCCAAGTTTTCCAAGAAGAACATTGCCCAAAGCATCACACTGCCTCCGCCGGCTTGCCTTTTTTCCATAGTGCATCCTGGTACCATGTGTTCCCCAGGTAAGCGACGCACCCCACCATCCATGTGACGTAAAAGAAAACTTGATTCATCAGACCACCTCAAGGCCACCTTCTTCCATTGCTCAGTGGTCCAGTTCTGATGCTCACGTGCCCACTGTAGGCGCTTTCGGCAGTGGACAGGGGTCAGCATGGGCACCCTGACTGTTCTGTGGCTATGCAGCCCCATACGCAACAAACTGCGGTGCAATATGTATTCTGACACCTTTCCATCAGAACCAGCATTAACTTCTTGAGCAATTTGAGCTACAGTAGCACTTCTGTTGGCTCGGACCACATGGGCCAGCCTTCGCTCCCCACATGAATCAATGAACCTTGGCCGCCTGTTCACCACTGTTTCTTCCTTGGGCCACTTTTGACAGATTCGGACCACTGCAGACCGGGAACACCCCACAAGAGCTGCAGTTTTGGAGATGCTCTGACCCAGTCATCTAGCCATCACAATTTGGCCCTTGTCAAACTCACTCAAATCTTTACACTTGCCCATTTTTATCCTGTTTCTAACAAATCAACTTTGAGGACAAAATGTTCACTTGCTGCCTAATACATCCCACCCAATAACAGGTGCCGTGATAAAGAGATAAACTTTGAGGACAAAATGTTCACTTGCTGCCTAATACATCCCACCCAATAACAGGTGCCGTGATAGAGATAATCAGTGTTATTCACTTCACCTGTCAGTGGTCATAATGTTCTGTGTGTGTATATATATATATATATATATAAATGTTTTTTTAAGTCACCTTTGCCTCACCAAGGCTGAATTTTGATCAAAAATACTTGTTTATAAATAATAATCTAAAAACAAATTGCTTTCTATTTTTATATATTTTAAAATGTAATTTATTCCTGTGATGCAAAGATGAATTTTCAGCATCATTACTCCAGTCTGTATGCTGATTTGATGTAAACTGTTACACTGCTTAATATTTTTGTAATATTGTCAAACTAAGTTTCTCGTACTTGCACTTTAACGGACAAATACACCTTGTCAATTTGAACAATAAAGCGATTTTAGCGCATTCAAGCGCAAGACGACGCAAACAACAACACCATTCAGTGTTCTGTGTCCACGGCGCACACATATAGAGCCGTGTCTCAGGCAACGAGAAAGTCCTGTATGGCGTTTCTTTCCGCGTCTTCTTGCGCTTGAACAGACAAATACATACACTATATTTGTTGTAAAGTTTTTGTCCCCTAAGCTGCACCCTCAAAGCAGTGCCACACCACTCTTAGCCTGTTCAGTTCCGTTAGCCCCAAGCTCCACCCACCCAATCTAAAGTCAATTAGAGCTATCTTACAGACTTTATTAGCTGCACCTGTGTCCACAACTTATGCCTTTTTGTTGCATGTGGTTGTACTGTGCAGAGGACTGAGTTTTTACTCCTTCCATTCTGTTTTTCCTGTGTGTGCGTAATTAACCATATAAGTGCCTTTGTGTGATGCTAAATATTATTTTGTATGACTTAAGTTTGGCCTAATTTGTGTTTATTTTCATGCTTGCTCTAGTTTCTGTTTAGGCATGTGCTTTCGTTATTTAATGTGCAGTTGGTGGAACATTGTAGTTGCCTTGTACCTTATTTAGCACTGTTTATTGGTAAACTAAAATCCTGTATATTTGTTCCTCTTCATAGAAACCACACGCACATCTATTGACTAGACAGGACCTGTTCTTACCGACAGCCCCACTGGCTTCAAGCTAGCTACATAAACATCTGCCACCTCCTTAGCATGGTTCCTCCTTTTCAATATTAGACCCATAAATTGTGTTTAAAGTGACCGTGCATAATTTACCAACTGCTGTCGGTGTCCCTAATGTTAATTAAGCTTTACAATGATTAATCTAAAATGTAATTTAAAAAATAACATATAAAAATAAAATATATAAAAATATAAAGCATCTTTAATTTGTATCATTGTTCTATTTACAGTATTTATTTGTGCTGTTGCTTGTAATTCATGTACAGGTGCATCTCAATAAATTAGAATGTCGTGGAAAAGTTGTTTATTTCAGTAATTCAGCTCAAATTGTGAAACTTGTGTATTAAATTAATTCAGTGCACACATACTGAAGTAGTTTAAGTCTTTGGTTCTTTTAATTGTGATGATTTTGGCTCACATTTAACAAAAACCCACCAATTCACTATCTCAACAAATTAGAATATGGTGACATGCCAATCAGCTAATCAACTCAAAACACCTGCAAAGGTTTCCTGAGCCTTCAAAATGGTCTCTCAGTTTGGTTCACTAGGCTACACAATCATGGGGAAGACTGCTGATCTGACAGTTGTCCAGAAGACAATCATTGACACCCTTCACAAGGAGGGTAAACCACAAACATTCATTGCCAAAGAAGCTGGCTGTTCACAGAGTGCTGTATCCAAGCATGTTAACAGAAAGTTGAGTGGAAGGAAAAAGTGTGGAAGAAAAAGATGCACAACCAACCAAGAGAACCGCAGCCTTATGAGGATTGTCAAGCAAAATCGATTCAAGAATTTGAGTGAACTTCACAAGGAATGGACTGAGGCTGGGGTCAAGGCATCAAGAGCCACCACACACAGACGTGTCAAGGAATTTGGCTACAGTTGTCATATTCCTCTTGTTAAGCCACTCCTGAACCACAAACAACGTCAGAGGCGTCTTACCTGGGCTAAGGAGAAGAAGAACTGGACTGTCGCCCAGTGGTTCAAAGTCCTCTTTTCAGATGAGAGCAAGTTTTGTATTTCATTTGGAAACCAAGGCCCTAGAGTCTGGAGGAAGGGTG